ACTATATATTAGACTGTAGGCTGATTAGTTGAGATTTTGTAGTTCATTTTTTAAGAAATCAATTTACATAGACAGTTATTTAAGTTTTAAACAGTACTGTATATTTAAGCAATTTTAGATTTATTTTGAAATATTATTTTTCTTTCCTTCACAGCATCCCAAACCTTAACCCTTAGCAGTTCGTTATGTTCCACCGCTACTGCTTATCCCAAATGGTTTGTGCCCCTTACATTTCCCATTACTTTTCAGGGGCATTTGGCACCAGCTTTACCTCCTAACGCTAGTCTACCGCCTCTCGCTACACGTTGTACTTTGCCAAATTGTACATGTTTAGAGGGTTATCAATTTAATTGTTCATAAAATGTTTGAGAATTGTTGTAAAATTTTAAATATTTAATAAAAATTAATAAGTATTAAATGTAAAATATATTTTTGTTAATTTTACTTAAAATTTTTATTTTTACTTAAATTTTTAAATTAGTAATATGGTAACACTAAAGCTTAATATAAAATAAAGCTAAGCTGGTAACATTGTTTTTTACACTAACGGTATTTTTTATCTAAGCAATGTTAATGATTTGGAATTACTGAATAAAAAAAATATGAAAATTAAAAATAGGTAATTTACCAAATTCGACTTATTCGACTTTTAATTTAAAATATTGATTGAATTTTATTAATTTTCCTACAATCATGAACTTAATTTTTTTCTATCAATTGTCATAAAATCATAACAAATCAATCACTCATAATGCATTAATGTCTAGTTATCATAACAAAAACAAAAGACAAATAATGTGATATTACTTAAAATTTAAGCATAAATTTAGCAATTCACCTAAAAATATGGAAACGAAATTGATAAACAACATTATTTACGAAAGGGGAAATCGCAGACATGTGAATTTAGTTTTGTTAATGTTTTAAACAATTTCACATAATGAAAAATAACAATTATTATATTTGTTAGTACAAACAATATTTCAATACTCCAATGATGAAAGAAACTATATTATCAAATATATATATATTTGAAGTCTAATGTTAAACAACTCTCCCTCCCTTTCAAAATGAGACACAACAAAAGTAATCGATCATTGTAGGCTTTAACCAATAGATAATGATATCATTATTTATATGATATGTATTGTGGAATCAAATACACGAGTATGAGAATCATATTGATTAAAAAAAGTACTAAAATCAAAATATTTAATAAAATGGAGGACTGACAACAATGAGAATATAAAAAAAAACTATTTTCATAGGATCATTTAAAATTTGATTTCCATAAGAAGAACCTAATTATCCAATGGCGTCCAATTTAGATAATCTAGTCTATAGTATAGTCTAGTCTATAGTCTAGTCTATAGTCTAGTCTATAGTCTAGTCTATAGTCTAGTCTATAGTCTAGTCTATAGTCTAGTCTATAGTCTAGTCTATAGTCTAGTCTATAGTCTAGTCTATAGTCTAGTCTATAGTCTAGTCTATAGTCTAGTCTATAGTCTAGTCTATAGTCTAGTCTATAGTCTAGTCTATAGTCTAGTCTATAGTCTAGTCTATAGTCTAATCTGTAGTCTAGTCTATAGTCTAGTCTATAGTCTAGTCTATAGTCTAGTCTATAGTCTAGTCTATAGTCTAGTCTATAGTCTAGTCTATAGTCTAGTCTATAGTCTAGTCTATAGTCTAGTCTAGTCTAGTCTAGTCTAGTCTATAGTCTAGTCTATAGTCTAGTCCTATAGTCTAGTCTATAGTCTAGTCTATAGTCTAGTCTATAGTCTATCTATAGTCTAGTCTATAGTCCTAGTCTATAGTCTAGTCATATAGTCTGAGTCTATAGTCTAGTCTATAGTCTAGTCTATAGTCTAGTCTATAGTCTAGTCTAGTCTAAGTCTATAGTCTAGTCTATAGTCTAGTCTATAGTCTAGTCTATAGTCTAGTCTATAGTCTAGTCTATAGTCTAGTCTATAGTCTAGTCTATAGTCTAGTCTATAGTCTAGTCTATAGTCTAGTCTAGTCTAGTCTAGTCTAGTCTATAGTCTAGTCTATAGTCTAGTCTATAGTCTAGGCTATAGTCTAGTCTATAGTCTAGTCTATAGTCTAGTCTATAGTCCTAGTCTATAGTCTAGTCTATAGTCTAGTCTATAGTCTAGTCTATAGTCTAGTCTATAGTCTAGTCTATAGTCTAGTCTATAGTCTAGTCTAAGTCTAGTCTGATAGTCTAGTCTATAGTCTAGTCTATAGTCTAGTTAGTCTAGTCTATAGTCTAGTCTATAGTCTAGTCTATAGTCTAGTCTATAGTCTAGTCTATAGTCTAGTCTATAGTCTAGTATAGTCTAGTCTATAATCTAGTCTATAGTCTAGTCTGTAGTCTAGTCTGTAGTCCTAGTCTGTAGTCTAGTCTATAGTCTAGTCTGTAGTCTAGTCTATAGTCTAGTCTATAGTCTAGTCTATAGTCTAGTCTATAGTCTAGTCTATAGTCTAGTCTATAGTCTAGTCTATAGTCTAGTCTATAGTCTAGTCTATAGTCTAGTCTATAGTCTAGTCTATAGTCTAGTTTATAGTCTAGTCTATAGCCTAGTCTATGTATATTATAGCGTAAAATTAGTTTGGTACTTTAAAACCTAAAAAAGTACACTTTTTGTTACACGTTAGTACTATTTTAAAATTTAAATTTTCCATGCCTGAAAGTAAATGTAAAATGGGCACAGTGCAATTTTTATTTGAAAAATACAAAAATTTAATATTTTCTTCTAAATTGAGATCTAAATTAGATCACCTAATATAATATATGGTACAATCGATTGAATACTATGGCTAGTGGGGCTAGTCTCACAGTCTGGAGGTTTAAATATGAAAAAACCAACTGTCATCAACAAAATTGGTGAATTTTTAAAAGAAAAAATTGTCTGTATAAGCGTTTAATTAGGAAAATAATAAAAATCAGTTATCACTACAAATTTTCCTTAAAACAATACAAAATTTAAGATGTGCAATTTCTTAATTTTACATTTTTGTTAATGTAAAAGTTATTCTTTAAACTATAATTTAATTTCTCTTAATTATTTTAACCATTAATTTGATTATTATAAAATTTCAACAAATTCGTTTATCAGTTAATATAACACCTTAAAACATTTGCTACTGTATAAAGACAACACTGCCAGATAACAGTAAAATGATTAGCAGTGAGTAGTAAGTAGTAAATAGTAGTAGTCAATGCTATTTGATCAAAGCCGAAAATACCGCTAAAAACCCTTTAAAGAAATCAAAACTGAAAAAATACTCATAAAATAAAGGCAATGGGGCGGCAAATAGAAAAAAAAATCGTCATAAACAAAAAATTGAGAGTGTTATAAATTAAGCAGAATAAAAAAAACATTAGGAACCTAAAAAGGGATTTTCTAAAGAAAATATATAACAGTTTAGTTAAAAAATGGTTCGTCGAAGGGCGTTATCAAAATGTTTTTATATACGAAAAATCGCATAAACCTCAATCACCAACCCTTTTGGTGGAGTAAAAACGAAACCTGCTTTCAGACATTATCTAAACAAATATGTTTTATTATCTAATATCATTGGACGACAGTCAGTAGCAGAAATAACAGCAGTAATTTTTGATCGTCAGTTGTTGTTATCGTAGAGTTAAATAGTCGTCTAATACGACAAATATGAGTATGTGAACATTTAGAATATGTATGTATCTGTATAGTGTTATGTAGGAATATAGTAAATGTATACGTTAAATTGTTAGAGCAATGTATTGGCATGTTAGATTACACAGTTTCCTTTTCAATTAAAAAATTTCAATTTTACTAACTAAAAACGCTAAAATAGTGAAATGACTGTTAAAGATCTAAGTCAGATATAGGAATATGTTTTCGTCATAAGGTAAACAAAGATGTTTAACAGCATTGTTGTTGTTGCTTACAAAAACGTTCAATTGAAAAGGTCATTATGAAAAGGTAAGTATGTATGAATAAACCATTACATACCTATAATAACATTTTATACTACAACAAAATATCTGAAAAGCATTCTAATGAAAAAAAAAACTTTTGGAAACAGTGTTATCAAAAACTAAATTTCTGAAAATTCTTTTTGGTAAATTATTTAGACATTCATAATTATTATCATGAACATTTAGTATCATTACACGTTTATTTATTTTGTATAGTTGTATAGGTAAGTAGGTTTCAAATTATTATTTTTTATGGTTCCTATTAGTACACTTCATAATGCTATTAATAAAGATATCAATTACCTGCAAACATATTTCAAATTGATTTGATTAATTGTATTGAAACAATAATAATAATAATAATTTCATTATTGGAAAAAATCAGATTTTTAGTAACAATTAGACCATACAACTGTTAAGGTCTCAAAAGTGAACAATTAGAGGAAAATAATCATATAATAAAATAGTGCAATTAATTAATAAGAAAAAAATACTATAATTAAAGCAAATAAAATGGATACCTTAAAATCCAATAAATCCTCTTTCTCTATAGAAAATATTTTAGAACAAAAAACATCTAAAGATACTAACTTGAATCCGGCTACACATATACAAATACCCTCACCCAGTTTAACAACAACATCTTTACCTTCACCCAATTTGGATAATACAGTTACATCTACCAGTCTAACACGTACCCCGGATTTTGAACAATATACCGCTTTTAAAAATCTCACTTTAAAAACAGCCAACCACAACAATAACTCGCCCTCCTCATTAACTTTAGCTAGTACTTTACCACAACATGCAACAGCCGCCGCTGCTCCTGCTCTACATTATGATCATGTTTATGATCCTACGGCCTCCTTATTTTATCAACAAGTCTTAAATTTACAGAAAAATTCAGCATTTTTAATGCCTCATTTTCAGGCTGCAGCAGCTGCCGCCGCAATGGCTAATGTTTCAACGGCGGTGGCGGCTCGTGGAACTCCGTCGGTTTATTGTGAACCTCCTTATAATCAATTTATGGATTGTGAAGGTGAGTGAGTCAGTTTTTTTTTTCAAAAGTAAATTAAGTAAATCACTAATTTTTAATCAATCTGTTTATGGTTTTATTACTAATCGCTACAGATAAGTCGACAATTACTTCCGGTTAGGTAGATTTGTTAAAATTTTATTAAAATCGTATAATTACAGCAAAATACAAGCTAAAGTTAAAAATTTTTAAATAAAAATACGATTTTGAAGTCCGTACTTAAAGTAAATAAAGGAAATGTTTAAAACTTCTTAGTATAGATAGATAGATAGATAGATAGATAGATAGATAGATAGATAGATAGATAGATAGATAGAAGATAGATAGATAGATAGATAGATAGATAGATAGAAAGATAGATAGATAGATAGATAGATAGATAGATAGATAGATAGATAGATAGATAGATAGATAGATAGATAGAAAGAAAGATAGATAGATAGATAGATAGATAGATAGATAGTTAGGTAGGTAGGTAGGTTGATAGGAGGATGTATACTACATCAAATCCGAAGAAATACACCTAGGCCACTATCGGGCCTGTTGTGCGCTCCAATTCAAGAAAAAAAAAAAAAAAAAAAAAAAAAAAAAAAAAATGTTCACTAAATGTATTATTTTTCCATGTTCAGAAACTCAGTTTCCTGGACGTAATTCCTAAGAATCTTCCAATCGGTGTTGGTTAAGAATGTTATTTCTGGAATAACATCACTTCCAAGATACTTGGATCTAACTTCGACGAATGCCTGACAATGGCAAAGAAAGTGCTCCAGAGTTTCACTGTCCTCTCCACATGCTCTACATTCGTCTGAATTCGCACGTCCAATTTTGTATAGATGTGCTCGTAATCCTGTGTGTCCACTGAGAATACGTACCATCATACTAACCTCAGACTTGCTCATTTTGAGAAGATTTCTCGTCTTGCTCTCATCAGGGTCACCCCATAGAATCTTTGTGGTTCTACCCACCGTTTCATTATTCCAAGAGGCCTTATGGGATTCTCTCATCCATATTTTTAATTCAGCTTTTGTTGCGTCGAATGGTTTTGCGTTTGTCAGGTTAACTACATCGAGCTCCCTTCCCTTTAAAGCTATTACATTCGCCCTTTCGTTGCCGACTACTCCCGAGTGGCCTGGTACCCATATGATGTGAACCTTACCTCTGGGAGAGTATTCAGTTAAAGCTTTCTTACAATCCAATACGGTCTTAGATTTAATTCTATCACCTGATATCGCACAAATTGCCTTCTGGCTGTCGGTAAATATATTAAGCCCTGTGGGCGCCATATTTATTCTAATCCAATTTACACATTCCGTTATTGCTCGTACTTCTGCCTGGAAGCTTGTGTTATGATTAGGTAAACGGTGGTATATTTCTGTTTCTGGGTCTTCAATATAGAACCCCAGACCCACTTTGTCCCCTAATTTAGAGCCATCCGTGTAGCAACGGATTCCTACTGGTATTTGCTCTAATGTTCCGCTTGACCAAGACATTCTATCTGGGATTAGCGTTTCAAAGTTTCCGACATATTCAGTGTCTGGTATGCGATCAGGCACGTCCGATGAATGTGTATAACCTTCCAATGTGTCCAGTATACATTGATGACGTGTCCTATAACCGTTTTTGGCCAGATCGCCTAAAGTAAAGAGCCGTTCGGCTGTAAGCGCCGCCTCATATCTTATATATGTTTCAATGGGTGGAATATCTAGCAACGTTTCCAGAGCCTTGGTTGAAGTAGTACACATGGCACCACTTACACCCAAGCAGCATGTACGCTGAACTCCCTGTAGTAGTTTGATATTACACTTTTTGTCCAAAGCAGTCCACCAGATTATTGAAGCATAAGCTAGAATTGGTCTAATTACACTTTTATAAAGCCAATTTGTCATAGTAGGACTAAGACCCCATTTCATGCCTATGGTTCTCCTACATATCGCCCAGCACCGATGTGCCTTGTTGATCCTATCCTCTATGTGGTGTCTCCATTTTAATTTCCGGTCAAGTATTACACCTAAGTACTTAACTTTGTTTGTCACCGGTATCTTCTTGCCCAAGAAGCAAGGTTCAGTATATGTAGAAATTTTTGTCTTTCTTGTGAAAAGACAGATTTCCGTCTTCGCCGGGTTAACATTGAGGCCTCTCGGTTGAGCCCAGCTCAAGGCCGTATTCAGAGCCTCCTCAGCTCTTCTACACAAGTAATTTGGATCCTTTCCCTTTAAAAGTATTACGACATCGTCTGCATAGCAGACAGGTCTAAGTCCTTTCTCGGTTAGGGTCCTTAGGAGGCTATTAATCGTGGTGACCCAGAGTAAAGGTGACAAAATGCCACCCTGTGGTATACCGCGAAATACCTTTTTCCTGATAGTTATATCGTACATCTCGCAGCTTATCCATCTGTTCCTTAGCATGTAGTTGATCCAGTTACGGAGCACCCGGTCAACATAAAACTGGTCTAGGGATTGGATAAGGGTATCAGTGTGCACGTTATTGAAAGCGCCTTCGATGTCAATGCATACTGCCAGTGTATACAGTTTGCTATCGAAAGATTCACTTATGTAGTGGACAACTTCATTTAAAGCGGTTTCCACCGATCGTCCCTTTACATAAGCATGCTGCTTATATTTAAGGTCATTGTATGGTATGCTGCTTTTAACCATGCTATCGACTATCCGTTCCAAGGTTTTAAGTAGGAAGGACGTAAGACTTATCGGTCGATAGGACTTAGGTGTCGCATAGCTAGGTTTCCCTGGTTTGGGTATAAATATTACCCTTGCATCCTGCCATTTAACTGGGGTATATGCCAATTTTAAGCATGCAGTGAATATCTGTGACAGATGTACGGAAACCAGTCCCGCCTCCATCTGCAAAAGTGCCGGGAAAATTCCATCCGGCCCTGCAGCTTTATAGGGAGCAAAGCTCTTGATTGCCCCTTTAACCATGTCAGTTGTAATAACTATTTCCGTGTTACCCTCCCCTTCCTCCAATATCGGTTCATCTATGTTATTCGATATACCGGGTGGGAAATGAGAATCCATTAGGAGTTTCATTGTCTCCTCCATATCCTCAAGCCTCCTGCCCGTGTCATCGATCATAGATTCCGGTTGGACATGAGTTTTGGATAGGAATTTTTTTAATCATCAATCATGGTCATCCATTAAACTGTCTTCCAGCGAGTTGGTGGTCACCTCCTCGCTCTTTGGATTTGACTCCTCCGGATAGCCTGAAGTGGCTATTAATGCAGTGAGTACTGTTGATGGCACTGCGGTGTCCTTATCAGGCATAGGAATAGCAGTATTTTTAATAGACACATTCCCAATTCTGGAGAGCATTGCTGTTCTGTCTTCTGGCGGGTGAGTGATTTCCTCCTCGCTTTTAGGATTTGACTCCTCAACATTGCTAGTACTTGCTAATGATGCTTTGGGTACTGTCTTAGGTGTTTTAGTGTCCTTGTCGGGGCCGGTTTTGACAGCCCTTTCAATCGGCGCCTTCCCAATTTGGAAAGGGCAAACTACACTTTCTTCTGGCGAGTTAATGGTAAATTCCTCGATTTTAGGATTTGACTCCTCAACGTTATCAGTAGTGGATACTGTGGTCTTAGGTTTTTTAGTGTCCTTTTCGAGGCTTGTTGTAACAGCCCTTCCAATCGGCACCTTCCCAATTTTGAATATGACAGATTTAGAGGCGAAGTAAGCCCTACCTTTATTCTTGGCAAGACTAGCCATGGATTTCTGGTCGATACCTATTACAAATAAAGTTCCCTCAGGTTCTTCTTTCCTGTAAAAGACATCCCATTTTTCCACGGCCAGCTCAGCATTTTGACCTCCAAGAATTTCCAGTATACGTTCATTAGCCAGTTTACTGCCCCATCCTTTTATGTAGACAGTGGACTTTAGGAGCACCGGAAGCTCGCTCTTCTTTGCCAGTCCCAGCCTAGCGCCGTCCCAGGGAGGAGGGATACTTTCCACCAAGTTCTTTAGGGTGCTAACACATTGGTGAGATGCCAACCTCATCAACATCACGCCCATGCTGAACTCGCAGCTCTCGCTCTCTATTGGTTGTTTGCCCTTTGAAGCTATTGCATGGTCCACTATCTTATTGTTGACCAGGTCTTCTATTTTACTCTGTTGGTCTATTGGAATTTTGCCTGTCGGATTACCGGCATCGTAAACTGCATAGCAGAGATCGTCCCGGTGCCTACTTCTGGCAACTTTGGCGTAAGATGGCGGCTCTTTACCTTTTCCTCCGTCTAGCTTCTCCTTCCTCGTTTTTCGGGGCTTCTTTTGAGATTCCCTTACCTTCGAGGTTGATTTCGCCGACGTGTTCGTCTTCGGAATATCTGGCTTGGCGTTGTCACCCTTACTCGCAGGATTCTCACTTGAGATTCCTTTGAGTGAAGTATGGCTTGGCTTCGACTGTGTATTAGAAGACGGGGAGCTCTTTTTCTTCTTAGGCTTATTCTCAGTTGTCAACTCCTCGGGTGACCTGATCCTTTTTGCCTCAGATCTTGTGAGAGAGTCCGATTCCTTTGGAGTGTCGTGGGATTGACTAACTATGATTTCCTGAAGCATCTTTTCAACTTCCTCCTCTGTGCTCCAGAAAGTCTTTTCTTAGTAATAGGTAGTTTAGCTATGCTATCACTCACCTCTTTCACCATTTGCTCTACTTCATCCTTTTTGGGATTTGCTATAATGGTATTATTATTATTATCATCTGAGGATTCAGAGTCGGAACCCTCACCTATATTTAAAGGCTGAGGTAGCTTAGAGCTCTCTCCGAGTACATCCTTCTCTTTCACCCCTATATTTTTGCCAGCGGCATGCTGTACACTTGACGCATTGTCCGCCACGGAGGCCAAGGTACCCACCTCCGTAGTAGTATTCTGCTCACGATTGCAGGATGACGACGACACGTGACTCGCGAGTAGATCAACACTTGCCGCCGGTACTGGGTTATTTAGGCCCTGCACCGTAACTTTTATCTTTTTATTTTTATTTTCCATATTTGTT